GGATGCACACCAATGTTCCAGCTCAAACAGTGAGAGGGGGGTGATGCTCAACAACACCCTTTGAATCCTCCAGTAACTCCACTCCCACACAAAACAGTTGCTTTGAAAGAAGAGTAAACTCATGAGAGAACGCTTGAGGAGACGAGATTAAAACAAGATATATCCAACGTGGAAGAGCTCACCAAGAAGATGAAAGAGCAAGGTTTAGATAAAATAGGATGTAAAGCCACCTTTGATGCGGGATGCTATGAGAGATGATGAAGTGAAGCAATGAGGTAGACGTTGTTCACAAGATGTGAAAAAAAAAACTGTATATGGCCATTTTTATTCTTATTCTTCAACAGCTTACAGACTTCTGCGTCAAATGTTTGGACTACCTCATCCTTCCCGACCACATGCTTGGAGTACTTTTGTAAAGTGTGAACCAAGTTTGTTGGGAGAAGTGTTTGAAAGTTTAAAAAAAACGAATTGTTAAACAATATGCGAAAGATTGTGCCTTAGAAATTGATTTCGTGGCTTTGTTATTGCAACAAACTGAATGGAATATTCCAGAGAAAAACGCTCTAGTTTTATAAATTATGGTTGAGCTGTGCCTGAACAAGTTAATGAGCTTGTTTCAAAAGTACTTTTTTTATGTTGGTTTGCCACTTGCTTCTTACTTCTTTATTGTTTGTTTTGAATTTCGCGCAAAGCTACACGAGGGCTATCTGCGCTAGCCGTCCCTAATTTAGCAGTGTAAGACTAGAGGGAAGGCAGCTAGTCATCACCACCCACCGCCAACTCTTGGGCTACTCTTTTACCAGCGAATAGTGGGATATAACGCCCCCACGGCTGAAATGGCGAGCATGTTTGGTGGGACTGGGATTCGAACTCGCAACCCTCAGATTGCGAGTCGAGCGCCCTAACCACCTGGCCATGCTGGGCCTCAGAAGCGTTGGAAGCGGACAGAGTGGCCTCCCACATTATAACGCCCCTGCGGCTGAAAGGGGTGAGCATGTTCGATTGTGAGTCTAGTGCCTTAACCACCAAACCATGCCAAGCCTTCATGACGTGTATTTCGATACCTGTTAAATCTTTACTAACGTGCTTCTGAAAAACGTTTGTATAGTTTTCCATTTTCTTTGAGATTAATAAAAACATTAGAACTGCGTTCTACAGGCCACCTGGAATGATGAAATAAACTTTTATTATTTACAACAATCACCAACCTACATACATTATCATATATATATAATTAGGGACCATCTTAGAGAATTTAAAAATAATATAACTTTTATATATATATATATATTTTTACAAACTTCTATAACACTTCCTCAAGAAACATCACTCTTGAAACTGATTATCTGAAGTAGTATCAAAGAGAAAATCAGTGTAGAAAAAAAAATATGGAATATTTTTATTAATATTTATTTCCCCCCCCCCCCCAGTGGCACAGCGGTATGTCTGCGGACTTACAACGCTAGAATCCGGGTTTCGATACCCGTGGTGGGCAGAGTACAGATAGCCCTTGTGTAGCTTTGTGCATAATTAAAAACAGACAAACAATATTTATTTACGAGCTTTCGGCCCTGTTACTAGAGCGTTCATCGCTAAGATTGCCGAAAGCTCGCAAATAATTGAAAAAATATTTTAACGTAGAAAAAAGTTCGTGTATAATTCTACATATTAATTTACTTACAACTGAAGCCTAGTTGGTGAAGATAATTTTAGAATACTTTGTATACGTAAGGTCTTACAAAGTAGCCAATGCTGCAAGAGTAAAAAGAAGCCGTCGTATATTATTGGGTGAAAAAAACAACAAAAAACGAAATCTGTCCAATCAACTTTTATGTTAAGTAGCTTCAAAATACGGCCGTGTATCCTGTTGGACAGCTTGAGTAGGTACATCTGTGTTGGCGTGTTTCTTTGTAATTAAGCACAAAGCTACACAATGGGCTATCTGTGCTCTGCCCACCACGGGTATCGAAACCCGGTTTCTAGCGTTGTAAGTCCGCAGACATACCGCTGTGCCACTGGGGGGCGTCTGTGTTGGTGAAACTTTTTAACTTACACTAAAACATTAACTTCTTCCCCTTTTCTTTTTTTTAATATTTATATATTAATATTTATTATGTATGGAGTCACAAGTTCTACATTCCAAGCAACATGATTAGAACTGGATGAAGTAAAATAATTTAAAAAAAAGACTGCTTAGAAAATCTTTTTATTACTAGTCGCTCGGCTTATCGGCCTTTTGAGTAATGTATATAATTTCACAGAAATAAAGTAGCAACAGAAAAAGTAGATAATGTTCCTATATATATATTTTAACTATACAAAGCGATATTTTATTAATCTCATAAACTAAATTTAACGTTTCAAAGTATTACGTCAAATGGTACTCATCCACTTAGATTATATGTTTCATGGTTGGGAAGGCGTGACGTAATACGCCTCAAATGTGTGTGTATATATATACGAGTCGTCACTATCAAGTACTAACTCTTCTCGATCGATGACACAAAATGGCCTCCGTTGTTACGTGAAGTAGAATTAATGATTACACGGCACTTATGCGGTGTGAACATACTCTTCTCGATCGATGACACAAAATGGCCTCCGTTGTTACGTGAAGTAGAATTAATGATTACACGGCACTTATGCGGTGTGAACATACTCTTCTCGATCGATGACACAAAATGGCCTCCGTTGTTACGTGAAGTAGAATTAATGATTACACGGCACTTATGCGGTGTGAACATACTCTTCTCGATCGATGACACAAAATGGCCTCCGTTGTTACGTGAAGTAGAATTAATGATTACACGGCACTTATACGGTGTGAACATAAAACATATTTGATTTTGTAATGAATGAATTGATTATACGCATATATTATGCTAGTATGTGTGGAAGAGTGGTTCACTAAATCATATAAAACATAAAGCGAAAATATGACAGAGAAAAAGTTCACCTTTGAACCCTCCTGCTACAGGACCTAAAAGAGTGATGGTGTAGAAGACCAGCCTAAAATTAGGTTCAATATAGCGACAGAAATAAATACGAAAATACAAGAAAAAAAATAATAAAAACCAAAATAGCTAAACAAGTTATATTCAAAACTAATAACACATAAAAATATCAAAATATGTATATATATATATATAATACTAGCTGCAATATTAGAACAAGTAAACAGGGAAACAAATACAACGGACTTTATGTAAAGCGTGATAAAACAACATTGGAATAACAATCCAATATTAAATACGAACAGAAAAATATTACATAAAACGCAATTACCACACCATAATTAAAACGTTAGAAGTCAGTGACGTCATTGTAAACATAAGCTGGTTTCAGACCGTTAATATTCACTTAGAAATAAAAACAGTAATAATGCATAAAAAAAAATATATATATATAGCTTATCTCTTTTTATCCCACGGACCAAGTGAATTATTACACCATTTTTTCCAGTGTTAACATAGTTGTAAACAGTATTATTGTATCGTAATCTTATGTCAACTGGGCTCACCACAGACATTTACTTACACCAACGTCCAGTCATTTGAATTTTTAAGGAACCTTTCTGAAAATATCAAACCTTTTCGGCAATGTTACAAAATATTTATTGAAAATGAATTACATTGGTTATTTGTCCTAATATCTCTAGGTGTATAAACATGTATTGTATATCTATATAACTACTTCGCAGTTGGCATGGAGGTTCATTGGGTCCATGGGGAGATACATACAAACTTGCGGTTTCACATTTTATGTTTTGCAGTTTTTATGGGTCGTTTTTTTTTACAATTATATATAAGGGTTGTTGTTTGTAGTTAAGCGCAAAGCTACACAAAGGG